GCATCGGTTCGATCACGAATCATGTGTCAGTGGAGCGTCAGCTTCGATTGGCGTCGTTTCGTAATTCTCTTAGCCTTTGACCATAGGAGCTATAGATGCCACGCTCTGTCTCGCTTCCCCGTGCGTGTATGCGTCGGGCTTGAACCGCAATATGCACGACTTGTTCGTGTGTCTCCAGGGGCAGATGTACCGAACGAAGCTGCGCTGCGCGGCCCTGTAGCTGTTGGATGGGGTCTCAATTTTGTCATGTCGAGAGAGCTCGCGCGAGCTGAGCAAGTTCTTGAATTCAAAAAGAGCTCAGAAATTATTGAGTGATCATGCAGCTGAGCGAGCTAAATATGCGAGCTCATGCAGAGTCTGTGGATAGGTTGTAATGACCCCTTTCAGATGTATGCATGTGCTGCAGATCTGTTGTATTCAATCTGCGCGAGCTCGTCAAAAATCGCACCCTGGAGCTGTGGTGATTGAATAGCTCCTTTTTATGATCTGAGCTCACACCCTTAGCAGAGAGGCAGCAAGGCGCAGCAGACTGAAACTTGCTGTAAATGCCCATGCATGAAGTTTCAAATCTTGAGCTCGTCCTCTTTCCAAATTTGAGTCCCCCTTGGGCAAGCGGACCGGTCGATCTCGATCGCGCATAGCGCAAGGGCGACGAATGTCAGACATCGTGAACTCAAGACCAACCAAGCAAGACTGCCTTTTGATGATGGATCGGTACATAGCTCTGGGTGAGTGTGAGCTATTTCCTCCTTATATTGCGGTTCTCAGGCAGAAGTGTGCCTGATGAGCAGCAGCATGCGTCTGAGACCCCGCCCTCGCCAATTCGGGAGAGCCGCTGCGTGGTTCTTGGGCGCTCAGTGGCCGGCTCTCTGTACCGAGCCTCCTCCCGCACCTTGGCTAGCGCGCGTAAATCCCGCTCGCCTGGCCAGTATACTCGAACTTGAATCAAGAATACCGTGACTACTACTGCGCAAATCATTCCCAAAAGGTAGCGACCTCGAACCCCAATCACCACGTCATCACGATCTGACTCGATGACGAGAAACTGGGCTTTGAATACGACCAAAGACGGGCGTCGT